TGATTGGCGAAACGTCAGCAATTTCAACTCAACAAAGACCGACGCAGGAGGAATCCAGAAGTTTTGTAAAAAGTATTACAGTAGCCTGTGGAAGTTTCTTTGAAAAATCTTCAAACATTATTTTATTTTTAACAATATGGTATTTTACACCCTTAGATTGTTTTAGCTTTTCCGTTTAATATTTTATAAGTGTACGTTAGACCCAGTACTTTCTTATTGACGCGAGGCATATTATATGAATTATCGGTGGGATAGTCGGACGTATCGAATTTGCTTAAGTTCCACTTAATAACTTTTCGTATGCATCATCACAATGGATGTTGTAAATGAAACTGTCGGTGTCCATATACTGAATTATATATTTCTTCGGGTCTAATTTAGGTAGCATCGTAATGAAACGAATACATAATTTTCGACAGATCCAGTATTGACATTCTAATGTAAAGGGGATGGTTAAAAAAGAGTTCCGATTTTTTTAGTGCAACTAACATTAAATCTTCATCTAGTTTAGTTCTATCGTGAAATCGGAGACAAGCAATTAAACCGTGACCGTGTTTTAAAGCTTGCTTTCAATTTCGATAGTGTATAACGCAATTGGTTTTATTAAAAATGGGTGATCATTAACTTTGGTAATTTTGAATTGGGAGGCCCGCGATGCTCGGCACACAATAGGAAATCTTTATGTAGATCGTGTACTGTAGAGGGTACTGCAAATCGACCTCGAATGTAGCCTGCACCGCCGGTGTCTGTTGTTATTAATGCTAAGGGAGGAAATTTCTTCCTGAGTCAACCATTTGAATCCGCCCTAGGGAAGAGGCTCCTACATAGCCTTGCCGTAAAGATTGTTAACGTCGAAAAATGTGATAACAACATTTAATAATATTAATAATAACAATAATCTTTATTGTCTAACAGATTAACATCCATTTAGAAAACAATTTCATCTTGAGAACTATAACCATAACTATAATAAGTAGTCAACTATATACACTCCAGCAAAGTAATAGTGAAACATAAAATCCAATATAATATTTCAAATTTACGTTTAATTAATGTGGTAAACTGTGAGCGACCAAGACAAAAAACGTCAATATCATTGCGGCAGTCATTAAATAATTTCATCAACTGATAACACGTATAATCAAAAAATTAGTTCTTGGAGTTACTAGGTGAAATACAGGTGACGCCGTTATAGACCTTGAGGGAACATGAAAGTTCAGCTGGCTCAGCAACTCAAGGCAATCCACTAATGAATTGCAAAGTTTATATAAAAACTGAAATGAAAGGTATCTCCTACGATTCAAGACTGAGAGAACCTTAAACATTAGTAATAAATCACTCTGTGGCATTCCCCTAGCTGAGTAGAAACCATTTATATGAAAGTGAAGAAATTTCAGAAACTTTCTCTGTACGTTTTCAATTTGAGTGATGAACTTGCCAAATATTGATTGCCAGACCGTTGAACCGTACTCTAGCTTCGAACGCACATAACTATAGTATAACAGTTTTAAAGTATGTTCCCTTGCAAAATCTCTAGAGTTCCCCAATATGACTCCCAGTATTTTAAGTGCACTTCCACAAACTTTATCCACATGAGTTCTGAAGGACAGTTTTGTGTCAAACGTTCCACCCAGGTCTTTGAAATTGTCACATTTTCTCAATAATACGTGATCCAGATGGTAATTAAAAGCTATAGTATCAGTTTTGTTTGAAAATGTCATTGCGAAACATTTATCTGTATTCAGGGGTAGGTTATTAGAAGTACACCAAGAACCAATAATCTCCAAATCATTCTGTAGAGACACACAGTCGACCACACTATCAATTGTTCTAAACAATTTCACATCATCAGCAAAGAGCAATCAATATTAACTGGCGCCAAATTGCTACCCGCTACTAAGAATGAAATTAAGCGATGAGTGACCGCAGAGCTCCACATTCTGAATGTCACAAGGCCATAACAAAATTCAAGCATCTTCAGTTTAGAGAGCAGTACAGTGTGGTCCACCCGGTCAAAGGCTGTGTATAGCACATCTACCCGTCTTCCGTCGTCCAAAGCCTTAGCAGTGAATTGTGTAAAGCAAGCCAAATTACTGATGGTGCTCCAACCTTAAAAAAAAACATGTTGTTTGTGGGTCAACCATTTGGTTGAAAGTACTATCATGCAGCGACATCTCGAAAGCCCTTGTAAAAGGCGATATTATCGATACAGGCCTGTAGTTGGATATATCAGATGATTTTAAATTCTTTAGGACGGGAGTTATTCTGGCCTCCTTCCAGACATCTGGGAACGTGTTTGTTGCTAGCGCTAAATAAGAGACATGAGTTTAACCAGCTTTGTGCACAATCTCGATCAAGGAAACAAGGAACTTTTTCAGCACCACAAGATACTTTGTTCTAATGTGCTAATGCTCTTAACATAGTGTTATCAGTTAAGTGATAAAATAATATGCGGCACTATATGCCTCATGCTTTTGATATGTTTGCGTTATATCTGAAATTATTAAATTTACATCTTTAAGTCCACTTTCGAAATCGTTGATTAAAAATGGCGTGTGTTTGTATATATTGTTTCGAGATTCAACATGGTCGGATTTAGGAAGACACTTTACAATCGATCAAACTGGCAAACAACCTTTTGTGACCCTTTAGGAGCATTTCGCTACTGAAATAATTCACCTATCGCAAATATATTTCTTACCGTGATGTCTACTAAGCTGGAACGACACTAACCGAGATAAATTTTTAATATAACAATAATGATATTTTATTTCTTCTTCACATTAATTGTCCCCTGTCGCTGCCGTCGTCGGTTCCTCATCAAAATCATTAATTTTTGGATAATACTTATTTTGAATTAATAGTAACACTGAATACAAACTTTTACTGTTGTTTTGAATTAACTCCAAAACGTACACATTTACGGAAATACCGTTGGATTTTTCAAATATATGAATTTGGTTTAGATCCATCAGTATTCGATAATTTTCAGTTCTTAATACGCTCTTATAAAGGATATGAAGTCGGTAAGTGTTGTTGGAGAAGTTCCTTTGCAGGAATAAAGCACAGACCAGTGACCAATAAAAACAGGCGCCATCATTATTTTTGAATATTAATGCATGCAAATTTTTTGAAAATTTCTGGGGGCAATTCAGTGTAGGACGAGCCGTTACCCACTTCAAATTTGTTAATATCAACTTCCAAATAAATAATTTTTTACAAGGCAAATTCAGAGTCACGTTCTTGAAATTCAGATAATTTATTTAAAATTTGACTTTGAACTTTTTCTACGAATCATTCGTTTAAATTCGTTCTCGAGTCGAAAACGGCATTTTTGGTAGAAAGATATCTCACATAGATCACGTCTTGGCTGTCGTTTTTTCTCTTTATAAATTCCCCGCATTGCATTGGCGACGCGTTTAAAAAATTTTGAAATATGACAAGACAGTCGCTTGAAAATTGTTGTTCGTCTTGTATGTTTCAAATTGATAATTACACCCGTTAAAACTCCTCTTTGGAAACAAGACACGATCTGCTCCCACGTCTAATAGTCGTCAGATGTTGAATTGTTGTCCGTAATTTTGTTTGAACCCCATGGATATATTTTTTTTTTTTGACTACGAACAATCTTGTTACGCCGAATGACATTTCTATGTAAACGTCCCAACCAAACATTTTTATTTTTTTCCGTTAAATTATCGAAAACGTATTTGTTCACTTCAAAAAATGCCAAAATTAAATTTTGCGCACCCTCAATAATTTGCGTAAAATTCATTGCGACCTAATAATAATAATAACATCTGAAAATGAGACTTACCTCCTCCCCTATTTTAATTTTGTAAAATTTCAAATTGTTGGCCTCGCCAACAGCCTTAAAGAAGTCGGCTGTTGGTCCGATACACCAGACTTTAGCGGACCGTCGAAAACTGGCCTATGTTCGTCCGGAAGCTGTCCGTCACCCGGTTCGGCAGGAACACCACAATAATAATTCTCCAATTCTAACTCCAATAGCACCGCCTCCCCAAATTGGGTCTTTACTATTCTGGCCTTCTCTATCTTGCATGACCGATCAACATCTAACTATGCCGACTTAACTATGGGTTTTCGATTTTCTTTATCGGCTGCAATTTTTTCAGTTAATGCCTTCAGTAGAATACTCCAATATTGCCAATTTTCAAGAAAAAAAATTTACTGTGCCATTGGTTTGGGAAAGTGCGGATTACTAAGTTTTCGTTTAAACATTTTCGCTGCGGCGAAGGCAAGCGATGTCACCCAGCCGTCGCGCTTAAATCATTTTTGACGCGCACTCGCGGTGATATTATTCGGCGCGCACACACGAGGTGATGTTATTCGACGCGCACACACGCGGTGAAGTCATCGCGTGGACCAACGCTTTGTTTAAATATGCCGAAGGAAATACGTGCAGGTTACTTATCAGGACGCGCTGGTAATAATAAAGAGGTTTCATTTTAACAATTTGCCGCTGTTGCCGTCGTTGCGAAGGCAGGCGACATTCCGATACACTCACACTACTGCTTGCTAGGAAATTCGGTAAAATATTTGAAGTTAAATATTCTAAACGTCAATCCTTAGATGATATGGTTCAAAAATAACCAAATTATTTGACCAATTTTTTATAACTCTACGATGACTTGAAATATCTATTTAAGAATAAATTAACCAAATTATTTCATTATTTTATTTAAGAATAAATTAGTGGAGATTATAAGGCAACATTTTATATAATATTGCTCCACTGACAGAATATCATATGTCCAGCCAATAGCCAAATATTTTTTGTGGGCGTATTTAAAAAACAAAATTTGCTAGGCAGATATATAAATAATAATAATTATTTGCATCCTGATTGATAATTAAATCTTTAGATAAGTTGAAAATTAAATTTAAGTTAAAATTTGTATTCTATACATATTTTTTAATTAATCTCTTCGGTGACTATTTGCATTTTTGTCATTTTTTTAAGGGCCAGTCTTTTAATGAAATATTTACAGGGCTTCCAATTAAAAAATATGTAGGTAGGATGCGAGTTCTAACGCAGCAATTAATACAAAGTTACCTCTAGTAACGACTAGTTTTATTAACTCAAATGACATGAGGACAAACAAATCCATCAATACTTAACAAAATTTTAAGCGGCTGTACATTTAAGTCACACTTATATCACAATAAGTCGTCTCCTTATCGAACCAACTTTCTTTTATCAAATAAATGCAAAGTGCAACTGATCTCACCACCGACATAGCGCCGGTATGTCTTTTGAATAATAATAACTTTGCGAATAGAGGAAAAGTAATAAATAATTAATGAATTAACGCCACTGATGCGTGTGGTCCCGGAAAGTAGCACACCAACATCTTATTTAGTGAGTATGTATAGCGCAATACAGACACGTTGGTAAACAGTGCTTTATAATACCAACAAAAAACGAGGGACAAATTTTTAACGTCACTCTTTTTTCTTTCTCAACGAATCTTCGCCTTTTCTTAAAGGCGGGGTAAACACTGGTTTCGGTGGGGACAATTTTTCAAAAACATTTGATACCATTGATACACTTAATTTTAACTCTTGTAAATCTTGGCACATTAATTACAATGTCGTGAAATTTTATTTTAGTATTAATCGGATTAAAATTATAACTTTAATAACCTTATCAGAAGAATTGTTAATACATTTGACCTACTTCTTATCAACACGGATAATCGACAGAAATACAGTGCAACTTCTTTAATCCGATTTTTTGTTTATTTATAACACGTACACCACTACCGAGAGTATTTAATACCAGCAGAACGGCTTTTCTGAGCAGCCCGGTTTATTAAGAATGTACCGACTGTCCCCGTTAAGAAATGAAAATAATAAATTCCAAATGTTACGACTGTTTGAAAACTAAAGTACATTAGGCAAACAGACACCTTTTTTCCATGGCCTTCAAGCTTAGAGATATATGCATTGTTTTTGAAATACGGCACATGTGTTCCATACTTTTGAAAACCTCATATAGCCTAATGAAATGCTCAAGAGACATAAAGGCTATTGCAATTAAAAAAAGGGAAGTTTAGTTTGTCCATCAAAATTTGTATCCGAAAAAAATTGACTACGTCACTGGGTCCTACGTAGCCCTATCAAGATCACTTTGTCGATAAGTACGCATGAAAAAAATAAAAAAAAAACCTCGTGTTCCATATTATTTTAAAAATCGAAATAAGTCCAATGAAATTATTACAAGACATAAAAATGGACATGTATAGTTTGCATATCAAATAATACAAAACTACTACGGCACTGGGTCCTACGTAAAAAAGCCCTAACCTTACTAGTTTTTACCTTTTCGATAAGTTAACGCGGTGGCCAAAAATGCAAATGCAAAAAAAACAAGATTTCTACCATCATTCAATGAAAAAGAAGCCTTGGGTTTCGAAAAGCACAACACGCATATTTTTATATATATAAGGTCCGTAAAATCATATAGCTACTAGTGATACAATCACTCAAACAAAACTGTCTCTCAAGAGCAAAAGTATTAAGTATTTATCATGTACAATACAATGTGTTGAGTAATAAGGAGAGCTATCAACTGCAGCAAGTGCCACAATGCTCAGTTTTAAGGTCACTGGAGTCTAAAAATTACCATAATCATAATTATGAGCATCTTTGGCAGAACATGTCTTGAATTTGAAACGTCTATTGACTTTAACTTGTACAATCTGAATTTCAACGTAAGATTTAGAAAGTTGAGGAGTAGCTGAGTACCTACTCGTTCCCTGTTTCTACTCAATTGTTAAATTCAAAGACAAATTTTAACAAAATGGAGCAAAATGTACGTTGCTTTAGGGGCAGGGACGGAAGATTATCCCATAGCCACCTTAAATGCATCAATTTTTACCGTATCATCTAATAGCTATATGCGTAAAACCATGAAAAATGGGACACACTGTACAGAGTGGGTCAAACTGGATACTTTTCATGGAAAACTGCCCCATATAGAGAAAATCGGAGAAAACTACTTAATACCGGTGTCTAGAAAGCAATTTTCATAAAACACTTAATGGTAAAAACCGCACTGCTATCTAGATCGTTTCAGAATTATAGGGTGGTTTTGGTGGTTTATAAAAAAATGCTGCAAATATTTGTTTTTTAAAACTAATATTTAATTAGTTATCAACAAAAAAAAGATTTTTTCTATGGGACATCCGGCGCCTTTAAAAATAATTTTACAACGTCAACATAAAAGCTAAAGACTGAGAAGAACGAACGTTAGATGTTAGTTTACAGATTTTTCGAAATTCATTTCAAACATTAAACTAAAACCTAGTTAAAAATCAGAATTTGGCCAAACAGCCTAGTTCTTCAAAGTTCAAAACTTCTGTTTCTTTGAAGAATATCAAGTATGGTATATTTTTGAAAAGGCGATTTTAAGTTCCTTTTAATGACCCAACAAATATACAGGGTGACCCATATAAAAACCGGTTGATAACTAATGAAATATTAGTATTAAAAATATACATATTTAAGCAATTAAATTCTGCGCAATAATATTAGTATTTCCTTCAAATGTGTCCAATTTGGCCCACCCTATACATACAGGAAATAGAAATGGGGCCAGTTTAAATTTTCCATAAAAGTTTGCGTCATATTTTTTTGAAATACAACTAACCAAAACAACCTGTTATGAAGACATTGTTCGAACTTCTAAAAACGACCTGTCATCTACTGCCATTAAAACTGAACTGGCGAGTCCTGCATGGCAGAGCAACAAGAAAAGTTGCTCAAAATCATTTCAATTGGAATGGTAAAGCGGGAAGTAAGAAATTTAATTTAAATTTAAAATTAAATTTAATAGGGTCTCATGGCAGGCGATATGTTAGAAGGCTACTTATCTGAAGTTGCTTGCTATGGAGTAGGACCAATTGACTGGAGGAAGGAGGTTACCGAGATTATGTTACCATTTGCATAGGATAATATGCTCTTTATATGGAAGTATCAATAGGATAATGATCAAAAACATACTTCTAGAAAAGCAATACATTTCCTTTCGTGGTCCCAATCTCCAGATATCAATCCTATTAAGAATCTTTGAACTTATGGCAAGAATAAAACAAGAAATAAGCAAAAAAAATTAAGGCAAATTGGGAAACAATACCAGTAGAATTTTGTGGAAGGCTTATAAAAACTCTATGACCAGAAGGTCCTAGAAAACGACAAAAGAATGATGGATCAGGGTTGAAACTATTCAAAGATTTTGGAGTGACATCCAGAAATTTTGAGCCGCCCTGGTTTTGTATTTTTTATTTTCCAGTTTAATACGCTTTACTCTTGTTAATTGAAAGTTTAATTTATATATATATATATATATATATATATATATATATATATATATATATATATATATATATATATATATATAGATATCTATTACTTTATAACAGGGTCTGTCAGTCGAACAGATAGGGCAACCCGTTAACCCGTTAATGCGATTCTTCATTTTTCATTTTTATTTATAAATTTCACACATTTTCGTATATTTTGTCTTCATATGCAAAATGGCGGAAAAACTAAGTGTCACCTCCCCCCTGCCTCTAAATTTTCATCATGTACCCCGATGGTTTCATTTCGTTAAAAAAAAACCTACTTTGGATAATTTTTTCTCTCTTGTTTATTTTTGATAACAATTGTAATTTGCAAAATAACTCTTTTCTCTATGTTCATTGACAATTGAAAAAATCTTAAGTATAAAAGTTAAACTAATTTTATGCAATATTTTCACAAGGAATTTGTCTCACAATTTTGACCCACCCTGTATACCACTCTGCAATACAATGAATGTACGGATTAAAAATGTTGCACTTGAATGCTGGAGGCTTGTTCACAACGTACAAGGACTAACGCAAAGCACCCCATAAAAGAAATCATGCACGAAGTGAGATGTACACAAATTCAGTAAAATGGGTGGCAAACCATTTGCCAACCATATAAAATCCCTCTTAAGCAATTCATAAAAAACATGATGAACTCCAGAATAATTTCTAGAGTGTACAGTGTGTCCACTTTTCGTTGTTTTGCGGGGTATCTCAGCTACTATTTGTGACGATATTTTCGCGATACTTTGCTCAATTTTCTTGAAAACAAACGATGCCTTTGTCAAAACAATCCCAGCTGCCTTTGTTTTTGAGATATAGGGAGAAATATAAAATTTGGCCACTTACGTAATTATAATACTAGAATTTTATAGATCGTTTTACGTGGAATCTAGTCTAGATTTTTTTTGTAAAAACTATAATTTTTAGGATGCGAGCTAAAGTTCCGTTTTTTTTAATGGCATCATCCGGTATATTTTTTTAAAAATTGATTGCGCTTGAAATTTAAAAAAATTAAAAAATCTCGAAATTTCCAAATAATCATAACAAGCTGACAGCACTGGCAGCAGTATTGAAGAGGTTCCTGAGATATATTGGTGGTTTTCTTGGCCGGAATCTGCAATTAACTCATGAATATTTAATAACCATATCATCCACAAGTTTTCAATCATAAAAATCATTTTCAACAGCTGTATCATTTGCTACAAATCGCTCGTATGTGCCTCAAATATAATAGCGTTTTATATTATCTTTATTTGTACCTTTATTGAAGAGACCGTTCTTGCTATTTTGTTTCTTTTGTTTATTTTTGCGCATATATAAATACAATGAACACTCTATATAAGAATTTCAAAAACGCTACGGTATCTCTTGCAATGTGGAGCTGGCTAATTCAAACAAATATGTAATTAGCACGAAAGTTGTCTCGTCTATAAAAGCTTGCCCAAAATCACAAATTAGATTTGATAATGATATGTAAATCGAAATTTCCAAGTTGCTTCAAAAATATAAAAAAAACTTATACACTTTTTTGCGACTGGTATAATGATATATTCATACGTTCAGTAACTCGACACTAAAAACCTCCCGTAAAAGCCGTTATTTTAGTAGATAATGCAACTTGCCACGAATTTCAAAATTATATTTTTTCCCTTACTAACACACCATTATTGCAACCACTAGATCAAAATGTGATAAGATCACAAAACCGACGCTATCGCAAGCATATACTTGCATGTTTTGCAGCCTTAGATACAAGACTGCATAAGGTGGAATAGTCTCAGCACAGAAAAATATAAATTTGAAAAATGTTTGGTGAATTTTAGTGGTGCAGGCATGAATGAAATTTCTGTGTCAGTTATACAAAATTCATTTAAACATCTTTTTTCGTCAAGTGATGAAGTTCAATACAACATTCTTTCTTATAAACTTGAAGACGATATTCCCTTGGCAAGATTGTACAATTCGATATTTAATGATTGTAATTTAACATATACTGAAATTATGGAGTGGCCAAGCGGAACAAGCGAACTTTGGAGAAAATCCTGAACTAGAAAGTGAAACTACTCCTGTTGAAGAAAATGAAGAAAAGTCGGATGACTCCAATACAAACAACAATGATGTCATAAATTCTCTTAATTTGGTGATAGAATGGGCAAAAGAAAAAGACTTACCCCTGCAGTGACGTTCTTTTGTTACAAAACAAGTCATTGTTTTTGATTATTTTGGCAATTAGTGCTGTACTAATGTTGATTTATTAAAATTTAAATGTTCATTTTTTTCTTTAGTATAATTAATAACTACACTTATATGATAATAACAATAAAATGTTTTCTTTTGCAAAATAAAACATTTTCCAGACAGTAAGTATTTTTATACTCTAAGCAACTTCTCCCAATAAAAAAACTTTTTTATTGAAATTGATTCAAATGAGTTGCTTATATACAACCTTCGCTATATATAACACCATTTTTATTGTCGGGACTGGTACCGGGAACTATTAGGCACCGAAGTATCAAAAACTTTTTTGTCCTGGGAATTGAAAACTTTATGTATATGTGTTTTGATATTTTAGAAAATATACCTTTATTTTATCCTAATTTTATCCCACTTAATAATATTATTATTGTTATTATCACTATGAATATGATACAAACAGCAGAATACAACAAATACTAAACATTTTTCCATGGTTATTGTATAATTGGTTTTAAAATTAGAATATCAAATGCCGTTGATCAGAAAGCATGAATAATACTCTTTTTTAAAAACATATTATAGAATTTAATGGAAGCCAACAAAGAACAAGTTTAAATATTTATACTTATTTTTAAAAATATTCGATAATCTGTAAATTATGTGACAAATGTCTCGCTGGTTGTGGAAAATAATAACAACGCAATTAACGCCTTAAAAAATGAAACTTGACAGGACCCAAGACATGACGATTTCAACTAATAGAGCTATTACAAATGGTAGTTCAGCTACACTACCTGGTGTCATTAACGATGACAGACCAAATTGGTCAGAACATGTTGGTGAATTGAAAGCAAAATTTACCAGTAGACTATTCGTTCTGAAACGACTAAGAGGATTGATTGATGTCAAGCACCTAATTATAGTATAAGTTATGGAGCGGTCCTGTGGGGTCATTCTTCGCCTTTGTGTGTTATTTTTAAATTGCAAAAACAAGCAATAAGAATTATTGCTACAATTGGCTATCGTGATCATTCTTAGCCATGGTTTATGCCATTGCCATGTGTTGGGTTGCATCAACAGCCGCTTCATATTTATAAAAATCGTGCATGCATACTAAAAAAAATTCTGATCATAATTTGTTTTCAAAGACACTTCCACAGACTACTGTAATTCTATTTATAAAAATTCTGGATTCCTCATGCGTCGGTTGTTGAAACTTTCTAACGTTTCGTCAATCATCCTGTTGGCTTCTTCAGATACTAATACAGCTTAACTAAAACAGTTTCAGTCAAGCTATGAAGAAACCAACAGGATGATTGCCACAAAGTTAGCAAGTTCGACTCAAAAACAACCAACCCAGGATGAACCTAGAAGCTTTGTAAATAGTTCTGGTAGCTATAACAGATTTGGCCATTATTTATTAAAACCTTGTCATAGACTCAGCGTGTCTCTCTCCAATAGTCTTCATTTAGGCTGAGGCTTCATCTTCTGAGAGTCAACATAAGATCCTAAGATGAGATATTTTTAATAAGAGAGTTAAATAAAATAAAAACTAACACAGATCTCTTCACAGTTTAATACTTAGGTGCGTTAATTTCTTTAAAAAACTAAAAAAAAAATAAACTGAATTAATGTATTTTGATTTACCCCACTGTATCCATTCAAAAATTGTATTTTGTACAAAAAATCTGAGTACGCCCCTGGAGTTTTGGGTAAAAAATCTATAAGATTTCGTTTTCGTCCTCTCATACTGACACAGGTTGTTTAAAATACAAAGGATAACTAACTGAAATGACCAAATTTTGTGTCTCCCTGTACCTCAAAAAAAAAAAAAATGCTAGCTCGGGCTAGTTTGAAAAAGGCATCTTTTGTTTCACGCAAAATGCATCGCTCTATCTCTAATAATACTCGAAATACCCCGCAATAATAATGAAAAATGTACAAATGTACAACAAAACCAGAGTAGAGTGCCGCCATGATTTGTAAAATTTTCGTCATTCAAAAAATTTATTGAATATAAGCGAATTAAACAGCTGTTACCCTGGTAATTCGGTTTGTTTTAAAACAGGCAACACCGCTACCCTATTCAGTACGACCCCTCGATTGCATCGGTAAGGTGTCAGTACTGCAACACGTCTACAGACGCAAAATCATAAAAAAACATTCACCAACCCAAGGAAACATAAATGTGGAAATATATATGCCGACACTTCTATTCGAATTCGTAGAATTCGAGAACGCGTTCATGATGAAACCGGAACCGTACTCTTTGGTCTTCCGGGTACTCTTTCTCCTTTTCCGCGTTAGGTACATAATGAGTCTGGAAAAAATGCGAGAAATGTCTGCCTACGTCATCGTTTAGGTGTAGCGCTCCCTTGCTCGTCGTAGGTTTCAAATTCTCTGAGAAAAAAAAACATGAAAAAATAATTTGAAAACAAAAACGTAATCTGAATAAATTAAATCTCTCCAGATCTGTATACAGGCTGTTTCAAAAAAGCGTGCATGCACGTTACTTACAATATCAACATGAGCACAAATTCTGCTTCGTTAAGTAAACGGCAAACGGTGTCCCATTATAAATTACCAAGTGGATAACTTTGTTAATATTGATCCTACAATTAAGTTTAAATTACCAAAATTGAAGCATTTTTGCTAAACTTTTCGATAAAATAAAAATTTTATCCGCCAAATTTTGACAGGTCGACATTTTTTTTTAATTTAATATCCTGTATTTGAATGTGTCAATCGATTGCATTTTTCCCGATTTCAATTGTATATGAGTTGTCAGGGTTATTTCAAATATCGCGAATTTCACCTAATATTGGATGTAAGGAAGTCAATAACTACTATTATTTCAATATCAAATTAACCATAGCTATTATCAAGGAAGTTAACTACCATTATAAATTAAAATGAGATTTACACAAGCGGAAAATTTGGACATTTTGTGTGTATTTTTAAAACGTAACAGAAATCAGGCTACTGCTCGCATGCTCCCAGAGTGATTCCAAGTAAAAAAGCATTTTCTAACATTTACAGCAGGTTTAAAAATAAGGGCTTAGTAGAAAAGAAAAGAAACGTTGCTTGTAATGTTAATGAAAACCTTGATATCTTGTTATATATTCAAGGTGAGAATTTTAATCACTAGTATTTCTTTTCAACTCTATCGAGTAGATTTTAAAGACATAAAATACACGCTTATAGGTTGACGAAAGTTCAACATCTTACAAATAAAGGCAAACAGAAACGTCTTGAATTTTGCCGCATTATGTTAGAACAACTTCAAGAATCACCAAATTTTATTCACAGCCTCACCACCTAATTGAAAACACATTTCTGGTCAAGCGAAAATTCCCACGAAATTTTGACAATTAAAAAATCTGATCGCCAATCTATATGAGTTTGGTGCGGAATTATTCCTTCTATGACTTCTGGGACCCTGTTTTTTAACAGTTGCATAACAGGCAATCGATATTTGAATTATCTTCGATTTAAAGTTGAAGAATATATCTTGCTGTGATTCTAAATATAGTATGGCAATAGGACAGAGCACCATATCATAATGTAAGAGACGTAAGAGACTATTTGCAGAAAAAAAAAACAATTACTGGATAGGAAAAATGGTGTAATACTTTGGCCTCCTAATAGTCCAGATCCTATTTCCCTTGACACCACTTTAGGGAGATTCCTAAAATCGAAAATATATAGACGAAGGCCGGCAAGAATTCTGGAAATACAAAACACAATGCAAGTAGAAGTTGAAGCCCGAAATGGGCAACCGAAATGAAAATACCGTCATAGTAATTACCAATATTACACAATAGAAAGTCATATAACAAGTAAATAAACTCTTTCGCTGTATTTAAAAAAGCAACTAATTTAGTTTTCATGGCAAACTCATTGACTTATATGCAATATGGGATAAAATGGGCGATATTTCAAAATCTGTCTGTATACAATTTTTGACAGATATATATTTTTTTAATATTTTTGATTGTAGAATTAAATCTGCCAAAAATAACCTTAACAACTCATATATATTGAAATCAAGAGAAAAAATGCAATCGATTGACGCATTTAAATACACGGTATTCGATTTTGACGGATCGAAATTTGAAAGATAAATTTTTTATTTTATATTTTCAGAATTGTAGGATCAATATTAACAAATTTAGTAATTTATAATGGGATACCCCGTACACATTTTACCACAAAAAACAGTTTGGACGTTTAATTATACTTAGTTGAAATTAAGGGCCTACAAAATCTTTAAAAAAATAATGATATTCAATTAAGTGCATAACACATAAATACATTTATCGCATTAAATAAATCTAAATCGACAAACGTTCAAGAGGTAGCGTTTAAAAGGCACAAATACAAAATATCATAACTTAACAGCAGAACCGAAGAAAATTATAATCCTTATAAAACAGAAAAAAAATGAAGGAAAATAGCAAAGCTAATCAAAATTTGTTTTACATAACGATTAAAACAAAAGTAAAAACAAATATGGAGAAAAGAAATAGATAATGGGTATAGAACAAGTGAAGAAATACGAGTAATAAAGGAACTCAAAAATTGAAGTGTGGACTAAAGAATGCATACCTCAAAATTGGGAGACATTTTGAATAACCCTAACATTTAAGAAGGGAGATAACTTCGCAAGTAATACATTTTCTGCGTGCAGCAATCAAAACATATGATCAAGTCCTGGACAGAAAGAGAAGACCTGTGATAGAAAATACTCTACAAGAATCTCAAAGTGGACTCAGAAAGAGAAGAAGTACACAGGATCAAATATTCATAGTAAAACAAATAACTGCAAAGGGAATAGTCAAGAAGAATCAAGATAATGAAATATATTTGGGCTTCATAGACTTGGAGAAAGCATTTGGTAAAGTACCATGAGACAAACTATGGAAAATTTTACTTGAAAGAGGAATCGAAAACCAAATGATAAGGGTATTGAAAAATATATACAAAGATATTAACTATATAATATACCAAAATAAAGTTTCAGAGCCAACCAAAGTACGATTAAGACAAGGAGGAGGACTAAAATACTTCGGAACTTCCGATCCCAATCAATAGGGTTCAAACAGTTTCAATGGGTTCCATCTAGGGAATAAACTTTAACTTTCTGCCAAATTTCAATTAGATAGCTCAGAATTTTGGACGCTTTTTTGCAGAGCAGAAACCGCTAATATCCGACAAAATGGCCGGCGAAAACTGATCGGGTCATATTTTGCGGGCTGCTGCGCATCGTTTATTACTAGTCCGAAGAAAAATTTGAAACCCTTAGTTCCAACCTTTCGAAGGTTATACTCGTAAGCCTTCACATGCTTCCCGAAGGTCCAACACGGAGAAAAGAAAAAAAAATTTTTTCGACGATGAATCGATCTGTACGGACGGTTTCCCCGTACTGTTACCGAGATCTCGAGTTTAGTGAGGAGCGTAGATACTTTCGCGAAACCAATCAAACGGCGCACTGAACATTATTACATATAGTCCAAACCGTAACTAACAACTAATAAACAAGTTTCGGTTACTGTGAAAGTCGTTAAAATTGTGCGCGAACAAAGAATTTCAACCAATATACCTTGAGCGACATATCTATGAGAGCCATCTTCGACTAACACGTTGTAGAATGGCTGGTCATCTTTTAAAAGAAGCCTGTCGACATTGTTTTGCACCTGCCACTCGACGGCGGCCAAGCAAACAGGATCCCAGTCACATATAACACACTTGTAGCTCAACGTCTGGTGTTCCATGACCATACCAACTGCGTACTTGATATTCTTGGTCCGTTGCGCTGACTCAACCTGCCCGAAAAGGTTCTCGTCTTTCGTTGAGTGATGCGCCTGGTAATCGCGCAACATGTGCACCACCCTTAAAATTATAGAACATCTTATTCATTTTAATATCTTAAACGAACTACAGTGACAGTGGGTGGACACCTTCTGGACTACTGAAATATGTATGTACGTATGGGAAAAATAGAAGATTCTTATTTTTTTCTCTAATCATACATATTGGTAAACACATGTTATAAGTAAAAATTTAAAAAATTACTCTTGAAAAAATCAATTACGGTAGTAATGGTGTTAGTTTTTAATATGTTTTCTTGAAAATGTAATACCAAGTCAGATAACAAGTGCATTGATATTGAATCTCCTTTCAATTTGGCAAATTCTTAAATCGTTTGAATATTGGACGAGTCGATTATTTCATCATGGGAATGATCAGACTCGCGCTAAGTGGCGTTGATGACTTATTTTACAATTCTGTTAAACGAGGAGTCAACTATACCGGGTGATACATTGCCATAAGGAACATGGGAACATATACATTCTATAACAAAGTTGTAATATAACTTTTGAAGGAACTGGTTTGATTAAATCATGTGTCAAGTTTGAATAAATTTTAATAAGCCTTTCTTCAGTTATTGAATTAAGTAATAAATTACTTAAATATGACGGCAGTGCATGTGGAGGAAAACAAAATGATTAGTACGATAATTCTTGGACAAGCTGTAAATAAACGTCAAACCACATTGACAAAACAGAAATATTTTCCATATAAATACGAAAAGCACCAAGGCTCTGGTAAGGCGATGAAGAAAGAAGAGTAGCATTTTGTTTTGAAATAATGGAAAAAGCAAATAATGAAAGGGATTTAAAAAATATATATTTGTTTCACTAATGAAGGTACATTCACACTCAACAACGAACCAAATATTCAAAACGGTCGGTACTAAGTCCAAGACAATGAATATCGCTTTGTTCATACTCGAAGCCAAATATCCTCAAAAAATAAATTCGGAAAATGATAATTTGCGGATATCATTGGGCCATTTTTTATGGACTACTTAACGTCAGAAACCTATTTATACTTATTACAAAATCAAGTTGAACCCGCACTTGAAGAAGTTCACGTCAGGAGATCTAGTACCAGATGGTTGGTTGTCCCGCCTATAATTCCCGTATGGTTAGGGAGTATTTGGGAAATACGGCAAACATTATTGGCCCAAGATGCCGAATCCTTTGGCCACCCAGGTCACCTGACCTCTCGCCGAACGACTTCTTTCTGTGGGATCACTTGAAAAGTGTTATCTATAAAAATGTTACATTTCGACATCTTAACCAGTTACAAAAAAATCGAGGGTTGTTTGAACATTTACTTAAAAAATAATAATTCTTTTTAACTATGTTTTGTAATAGCATTTTTATTTAATAAAAGACTTGAAGGAAATTTAAATTTATAGTTCCTTGAAGCTTCCTTGTTGCTTAAACTGTTGAAATGAAATTTATTCCAAGAATGCTTTAAGGGGCAAGGAGTATAAGTTTGATCCTAAAAAAAACGTAATGACGTACCTACATACTTACTTTATTTTGAATGTATGAAATCAAATGTCATGTATTATTGTAAACTAATCTTTATTTGATATGTTTTTTTTTTTTGGTGCAGTTTTGGAAATAGCGCGATGGAAAATATCGCTGGTGTTTGTTGTATTGACTTGTTGCAATTTTGCCAGAATATTAAATTCAATAACTGAAGATTGGGTTATTCAAACTCGGTGCATGAGTTAATCACACCCTCCCCTTCAAAAAGTTATATTACAATTTTGCTATAAAATGTCCAGAGGAGCCAATATTTGGCCACTTAAAAATTTACATGGGATTTCCTTCCCGTTAGGCAATGCATAAGTTATTATGGATGGAAATAAACCGCATAAATCTTTTTTTTTTCACGGCCTGCTGCTTCTGCGTTGGGCAATATTTCGGATAAAACTGACACCGAGTTAGTAGGAAAGTAGTTTTAACAGGTTATTTCAATGCACACTTTAATAATAAATAATAATTAACCTGAAGCAATCCAACTTTGTGATTGTGAACACACTAAAACCATAAAACATAATTCTGCACAGATTCCTTTAGAGCTGATTCAATTGAACTGGGAATATCAGATCATTTGGATATAAAAATCCAACTTCTAATAACTAGTAATCAGGGTAAGCATATACACATTCAATTTAATGTATGTAGACCATTAACAGAAAGGTATGTTTCTATTTCATCACGCTATCGCTCAGATATCAACTTTTCTAACATTGCCAAGAAAATAATTGACAAAATACCTTCCTCACAAATGGAACATACTAGACTTATACGCGATTTGTCTACTGCACTTTAAGTTAGAGGTTAGAGGTTAGGAACACAATTTAGAAGTTAAAAAATAAAACCAGCTTAGATAGTTTTAGTTTAAGCGCTAAATTAATTAAATGATTAAAAACATTATTATTAGTCCACTGACTAAATTTTAATAAACCTTTGTTTTACAGCGCATACTTTTTCTGAGGGCTTAAAAGTGTCATAGTTTACATCAATTTTTAAAAAAGGCAATCCCGAATTACCTGAAATGTATCGCCCAATTTCACTTCGACCAATTATTTCAAAAATAGTAGAAAAATGTATGACTACCAGGATTATAAATCTCTTTGAAGTAAATGGTTATTTCAGTAACTGTCAGTTTGCATTTAGAAAAAATAGTGATTAAGGAGGATAGAGTGTTGTCAGAACCAAGGGAAGTTAATGCCGGAATGCCCTAAGGCTCCGTGCTGGGTCCAATTTTACATTTGGTATATAAAAATGACTCGCCAAATTTTTATACCGTTCTATCCCATTCAAAGCTTAGATGAAGTTAACGAGCGAATTGATAGATGGTTCCGCGCAAACAAAACAATTCAGTCTTTCTTTTCATTGATTGAGATATTGGTGAAACATTGCAGAATCTTCTGTAGTTAGATTCTTGAGAGTGAAATAGGACCCTCGTGTACACATTGATGAATTGGCCAAAAAACTTTAAAAAGGGATTTACGCCCTCAGGAACTATGTATCTCAGCAAACTTTAAAAACAGCTCATTATGGACACTTTTATTCGTTAGTTGCATATAATCTTCTAGCGTGGAGTCATGTCACCTCAATCAAAAAGAAAGGAAAAAGGCTATAAAAATTTTTAAATGATTAGGATACATAGAAGACTGCTGGCGGCCTTTAGCGACCTAGGAGGGGTGACTGTTCCTTGCGTTTATATTTTTGAAAGTTTGCTACATATCAAAAAGAATAGGAATTAGTATAGAACTCACAGTGATGTTCACGAATACAATATCAAGCAGAGAAACCACCTACTTCCAACATATCAGCAATCAACAGGGTGATCCAAAACTTGAACAAGCTACATGCTTTACTATATTACAGTGATTTGTTTTAATTTCTAGAATACTGGTTTACTCATATCCTATTTTCTCTTTAACAAATAGACACACCCCTCCTCTCCTGGAGTTCCTTCATTGACGCACAACATTATAATTTGGCAGATTAAAATATGGTACCTCATTTTGGTTCATCTCATTCAGATCTTATGTGAATAGGTTCATCATTGATGTTTTTTTTTTTAAGATCTTACTACGTTTGCTAAATGCTCCTTTCAAGTTATTTTCTTTTTTAAGGACACAATTTCTGAATAGTCATTGTTTAGTAGTTGTAAGATCTTTGTTAAAAAATATGTTATCATTTTTTCCTTCTAATCCACACTCACGCACCTTAATTCCATTTACTTCTTTGATTTTGTTATAAATTTCTGTTCAATTAATTTCCAGAAGATAGGGCCATTAAATTTTTCAACAAACACCACAGAAATACAAAATATGTGTGAAGAACTTTTTAGTTGAAAACTCCTTTTATTCCTATTGTGAATGAATGAGCTCAAATAGTATGTGGCGCCTTTCATATTTTGTCTTGTGATTGTTCCAAATCTTAAAGCTAAATTTAAATTTTATGACATGTAAAATACCTCATTCTTCTTCTTACTTCACATCAATAACTAAATCTGAATCTGAATGTAATCTCAATAAAAACTAAATAAATAAATAAACTTCCCAAATGTGCCGTTTGAGTTGATAGGCGGAAATTTAAAAATTGACATTTTTGCTGTTATTCGCCTATTTCAGATATTCAAAAGCAACGACTTATTACTTTAAACAAGTTGTTTATTTTGACATACAAAAATTATTTAAAAACTAAACTCCCACAAAACCTACCTTTGTGCCTGTTCGGGCACCTCAAATTGTTGCATCAACAGAAACTTCTCCAGCGGCTTCGTGTCCATATTGTGAAGCATATAAAGCCTGGCCAAACTGACCAGAGCGGAAATATCCTTTGGGTTAACCAGCTTGAGCATTTCTAAACTGGACCTGAGTCTAGTTATTCGACCGTTCGGATGGTGAGCTTGCCTGGAAATATAACCGGATCGAAAAATTGCCGCCGCGCCGCTAAAACCAACACCGAACCTTGCCAACACTTCCAGGTCGTTGGCTATCCTCTCAATAACCTGTTCCGCCGTGGCCATTGGGAACATGTTTCGCGTACCAGAAAATCTACTATGGGGACACGAACCCTTTCTCACAATCTGACCTCCGTTAAAGACATCAATGTAGTACCAATCGGAGTCCGGGTCGACTCCCTCGCAAAACCTCAACAAAAAATGGGATGGGAAAATGATGGGCTCGCAGCGCAGTCCCAGTCGTCTGGCCACCGCTTCGAAAATAATGGCCAAAGTTATTGCCAAACCTCTACGGGTCTCAAGTACGACGTTGATGTAGGAGTCTTGCGGGACGCTGTATGGCGGCAATGCGTGAGCGTAGCCGGAAAACCCCATCTTTTGGAAAATTACCTTCGAACAAAGCGGCGATTTAATTACAGTATCGATTACAAACCAGTTTTTTATAGGAAAACCTATAATGCAATCTCTTGGACTCTCAAATAAAATAAATAAATTAAAGAACTTGGGCAGCGTGAAAATGGGGCGTGGCCTTGCGGTGACCTTTTTCCTTTCGTCAGATTCAGCGGCAAAGCATTTGGTATGCGCAGCGCATTTGACTGCAAAGTGACAAGTTTAAGAATTGTGTATGAATAGAATAGAATAAAACAGAATAGAATAGAATTATATGGTAGTAAAAAATACATATAGGCTGCGAAGAAATATCAAATAAAAAATACAAAACAAAGAACACAAACATTGAAGGAATATCATAATAAGAGTTTTACAGAGAAATATAATAAACAGTTATTTCAAATATTCTTGTATATCTTGAAGTCCGCATAATTTTTCTTACATTTGGTTAATTTAAATTTAATTTAATTTTATTAAGAATAATGTGACACTATGCAACAATTAACTGTAGTCAGCGTTTACGCTAATAATTCCTTTTCACTTTTTTTATGCCACGTTAAAAATAATTACTAACATTTTATTCAGTAGGAAATATTTCATCTATTAATGAACGAACATGTATTAAAATCACTTTACTTGATTCTATACGATCCCGATTGAGCTAAGCTCACAGCAGCTCTGATTCGAAATAGGTCGGTAGTTTCCAACTACAGAGGGATCACCTTTTTTGAGAATAGGATAAGCTTTGACATATTTCCAAGGCTCTGGATAAACACCCGTTTCAAGTATCAGATTAAAAACGTCACATAAAGGAGCACACAGTGCGTGGGAACAGTCTCTCACGATAAAACTTGGTATGCCATCAGGACCGGCGGTAATTTTGTTTTTGAGTGCTTTGCTTACTGACAAGACATCCTGGTTAGTAAGCTTAGGTATGTTGACTAGTTCCGGATTAAAGGGCACGCATAAAGATGAACATGGATCTAGCTTGGAGATAGTGTAAACGCTACCAAAGTACTTAGCAAAAGCTGCAACAACTGACTAGAATAGGACATCGTAGCTGGGATTCGCGAATCTGCCTTCTTCCGCTGAATAAATGACCATAAATTGGTAGGACTATCATGTATACTTAACTCAGCACGACGAACAAAATCAGTATAGGCAATGCGTGACTGGAACTTAATTGACTTGCGCCGCGCGGTATATCTGCCAAAATAATAAGATTTGTGTTGCTTGAAATTGTGGACAGCTTTCTCCTTCTCAAATATAGTTGCGATCATTTCTTTACTGAATCATGATGGAAATCGCCTTCGTCTCGGTGTTTTAGTGGGCGTGCAAACGGCAAAAATATTGTTTAGCATGCCGTAAAAAAGTGTTAGAGCCCTGTCGACATCCGAGCACTCCATAAAACTATTCCAGTCTGCATGCTGCATCAGTTCATACATATGAAGATAGTTCGCCTTCCTAAAGTTAAATTCGGTTTGATCGTTCCTATTGATTGGAAAATTAGAGACGTGTGGAAAAACGACTCGGAGGGAAACTAATAACAAGACAGATCCGCCAAACAACAACAGCGACGACGAAGATTCAAAAAAGTTCTCAACTTAGAAGCTGGCAGCAGTGGGAGGAATGTATAGTATAAATACATAAAATACAAAGTAATCTAAAGAGATCTTACAACCTAAAAAGTCTAAGCTTGGAGCACTGTTGCTGATGCCGGAGGTATCCAGAAATGCGGACTCAAAACTGTCACGAACACCGAGCATGACACCACCACCCCTGGAGACTCCGGTTAGATCTTGCCTTCTGTCTGAACGGTGGAACCAGATAAGAATCAGGATAGAGTTCAGGGTCCCGAAAATCTGGTTAAAGCCAGGATTCAGTAACAACAAAGATATCATACCCTGAGGAAGTTACGCCCCTGTAAAAGACATGGGTCCTAGTTCTCAAACCCCGAACGTTCTGGTACATACAGATCAATTCTTTGCCTGAGGTGGCGGCGGAGCTGGGTTTTTTGTAGCGGTAGTGAGAAGTTCTTCTTTAATATCCCGAATATGCTTATGTTGCGGCAGAGAAAGATCCGCCTCGACGTAAATTTTGTGATTCTCAGCGAGCGTTCTCCTACTCTTCAGCACAAGTGACATGGGTTTAGACAGCGTCACTTTAACTGGTTTGTAGCCATTACGGTTTGGTTTACCGAGGGAAACAACAACCCACTGCTGGAGAGCAGTGAAAAGATTTGAAGTGATTCAGGAATGCTCTCGTCTCGCGAAGATTAAAAATCATCAAATTGTTAATGCGTGCCTGTCTCCGCAGCACTTCTTGAAGAATGCCGTTTTCATGACTTTGTTCGGCGGCTGTAGTGCTGTCACTGGGATTGTTATTAGCAATTTGATTCCTTAACTCTGCAATCTCAAATTTAAGATCAGCATTAATTTTGATTTGGTGTTCGTATCTCGCCAGCAGGTTGGCATACTGAGCTTCGATGACTATTAATTTGTCCATTATGTCGTTCAAAGATACTTGGTTATGGGTTATTGCTGCGACGCAGCACCCGGTCCAATTGAGTGCCGGGGATTGCTATTCGAGGGTTGCTTGCTGCGTGACTGAGACTGTGCGATATCTAAGCAGGGATTGCATACCCAAATGGTTTCTTTGGTTTTATTCCACATAGTTGCCTGCTTGTTAAACTCATGGTTAGTGAGACCCGAACAAGCCTTGCGGAAGCAGGACAGACAGGCACGACATGATATTGAAGGTTGACTGTCCTTTATTGATCTCTTACAGTGACACATCTTGGCTGCTTGTTGATATTCGGCGCCATCTGTGCAATCCGTCCGTGGCCAAACTCACTCTTAGAAAAAAAAACATAAACACGGCTAAGCCCGACCACGCGGAACGCAACTAAAACACTACAAATACTATTGTGTGTGCACTGCTTTTGATCGATTATTTGTTTCACGCCTGCCGAAGAACAAGTAAAGGTGGCTGGTATGTTTTTAGCGCATTTAAAATATGCAGCACTAACCTAATATATAATCGAGTTAGCGAATCTCCCCTTGGTGATACTATTCAGGGCTGATGTTAAGGAGCGAATTGAAAGGTGGTTATGTATTTTATAATAATTATGCATTTACATTTAAACTTCCACGAGCTACTATAATACTATTTACAAAGCTTCTGGATTTTTTTTTCAAAGAAACTTCCACAGGCTACTGTAATACTTTTTACAAAACTTCTGGATTCCTCCTGCGTCGGTTATTGCTGAGTCGAAATTGCTGACGTTTCGCCAACCATTCTGTTGACTTCCTCATAGCTTGACTGAAACTGGCTCGTATTTTACTCTGTACTTGCTTATATATTGTTTGAGGTGGCGCGCTATTGAGGGGTTTAAACACCGTCTCGGATGACTGATTCCCAAATTGAGTCGCGGTTAAGATTGTTAGGTTGTTTATAAATTTCTATATACTTCTTTAGAATTTTTGATATGTGGTCAGTGATGTTTTGAATGTAAGGAAGGACCACAGTGGCAAGTGTAGGATTGCTTTCGGCCTCATTGCTATTGGAAGATTGTGGTGAAGTGTATTTTTTGATGGAACGCTTAATATCTTTAATGTGGAAATTATTAGCGAGAAGACCAGAGGTAAGGTGTTTTAATTCAGGGTTGAGTGATTCGGGATGAGATAGTTTTAAAGCTCTGTAAACAAGAGAGTTGATAACCGATGATTTTTGGGCCGGATGGTGATGTGACCATGCATTAAGGTATCGGTCTGTGTGCGTAAGTTTTCTGTAAAATGACCCAATGTGATTTTCTATTGATAAGAATATCTAAGAATGGCAGGTTATTATTAGCTTCCAACTCAAATGTCTAAGAAAATCTACTAGGATCTCTTGACCATGAGGCCAAATAACAAAAGTATCGTTTCCATAATTTTGGTTTTAGATGAAAGGTGTCGAGGCCTTTCTTCTCAAAGGCTTCAACAAATATATTCGCGATGACTGGCGATAGTGGAGAAACCCATAGCCGTTCCCGACGTTTGTTCAAAAATTTGACCTTTATAAAAAAAACATGTTCCCGATAAGCATTTTTCAATTAAGGTGAGGTTTGGTTCCAGATTCTTGGATTTTAATATATCTGAAATTAGAATAGGAAAGAAGAATAGGAACTTTGGTAAAGAGGGATTCTACGTCAAAACTAACTGGAATATCTTGTTTATCTAATGTAATGCTTCTTAATTGTTCTCGATGAAGTGAAAGGAATTAAGTACGAAACTGTCAGTTTTCCCTATAAACAATTTTAATAAGGAAGATAAGATATTTTGCTAGGGAATATGTTGGAGAACCAATGGTGCTGACAATAGGTCGAACGGGCAATCCTGGTTTGTGAATCGTTAAAAGTCAGTAGAGACGAGGAATTTTAGAGTCGTGAAGGGTAACAGATTTTTTCACGGAGTCTAATGAGAAGAAGATTTAATAACAGATTTAAGGTTGCGATGCATAGATGGCGTAGAATCTTTTTTAAGTTGACGATATGATGCGTCTGTAAGAATATCTTGAATCTTTTCCTGATATTCATTAGTGTCCATGACTACCGTAGCATTTCCTTTATCTGCTTTTCGGTTCACGATGTCTGAATTGGATTTTTGAGATTTTAGGGCGATGCGTTCAGGCTTTGCAATATTGGATTTAGGAGGTTTTGATTTTTTAATGTTTTTTGCGGTTTCAAATCGAATTTCATTAGCTGTTTGAGATGGCAGTTTGTTTAGGATAGACTCGACATTTGAAATGATTTCCTCTTTTGGGATAATACGTGGCGCAAGGACAAAGTTGGAACCTTTTGAAAGAACTAATTTTTCTGTTTCCAAAAGTTGGTGCGATGATACATTTATTACAGTGTTTGGTAGTTTAGAAGAGTTTGATGGTTTTCCTAGTGTTGACGTTAGTTTTTCAAATTTCTGAATGTGATTTTGGGTAGTAGATAAATGAAGATTTAAAGCTTTGTCATGAATCATGCTTGAAAGGGTATCGAACTCGGATGGGGACCCTTACGGGTATGATGAATTCTTTCTCGAAGTAAAGCGAAGCTAGATTTTCGAAGAATTTTATAAGCGGACGAGGTTGTGGTGTGATGGGATATTTTAAGAAAATTGGGGATAACGTTACGGTCTCTACAACGTAACAAAAAGGTCAGTGTACAGAGTAATCCTCACCACAATCTTCCAATAGCAATGTGCCACTGTGGTCCTTCCTTACATTTAAAACATCAGTGACCAGATATCAAAAGTTCTAAAGAAGTATAACGTCAAAACCAGATTTACCACTTGTCCAAAACTCTCTCAACATCTCATCATATCATAACGTCAACTTAAAAAAGATCCTGTCATCTATGGAACGCAACCTTATGACTCTTATGACTCTTTTCTATCAGACCCTGTGAAAAAGTCTGTCAGCCCTCATGACTCTAAAATTCCTCGTCTCGACGGACTCCGTAATGTTCATAAACCAGTATTAACCCTTCGACCTATTGTCAGGACCATTGGTTCTCCAATATATTCTCTAGCAAAATATCTAGCTTCTATATTAAAACCCTTTAGAGGAAAACTGATAGTTTCATACTTAATTCCTTTCATTTTACTAAACAATTAAAAAGCATTACATTAGATCCAAGGGACTTTCTGGTTAGTTTTGACGTAGAATTTCCCTTTACTTCCGGAATCCTCATTTTAATTGAAAAATGCATGCCTGGAACATATCTTTCTTATAACGGTCAAATTTTTGAACAAACATCGGGAACAGTCATCGCGAATATATTTATGGAAGCCTTTGAGAAGAAAGCTCTCGACATCTTCCATCTAAAACCAAAATTATGGAAACGCTACGTCGATGATATTTTTGTTATTTGGCCTCATGGTCAAGAATACTACTGGATTTTTTAGACATTTAACCTCTATACATCCTAACATACGTTTTACCATTGAATTAGAAACTAATAATAATCTCCCTTTTTTACATATTTTTATCAATAGAAAATCAGACCTAACATTTGGTCATTCTGTTAATGCATGGTCATATCACCATCCGGCCCAAAAATCATCGGTTATCAACTCGCGATTAAGAGAGCCGTAAAACTATCTCAGTCCGAGTCGCTGAACCCAAAATTAAAACACCTCACCCCTGTTTTTCTCTCTCATAATTTCCACATTAAAAATATTAAACGTTCCATCGCAAATTACACTTCACCACAACATTCCAAAGACAATGAGTTCGAAACCAACCTCACACTTGCTACTGTTGTCCTTCATTACATTCAAAACATCACTGACCACATATCACTTTTCCAAATATCTTTCAACATCTTCGCTCTGTGAATAACAAAACTCCGTTTGAGACGCCAGGAGTTAACAGGATTCCATTCATATGCGACAAAGAATGCATTAGAGAGACGGGACGAAAAATATCAGCTGGGCTCAAAGAACATGAAAGAGCCATAAGACTTACACCAATAAACTCATCAGCAGTTGCTGAACACAATTACGAAATCGGACATAAAATTTTATTTGATATAACTAAAATTCTTGCATGTAATCAATTCTTCTGCCAACGAAAAATCCGAGAGCAAAAAAACATTCTTAATCGCGACTCAGGTATTTACCTGTCACCAATTAATCAGTCATCCGAGACGATGTTTATGCTCCACATTCAGCCCAGCCCACTTCAAACAGTATGTAAGCAGGTACAGAGTAGAAACGAGCCAGATTCAGTTAAATTAAATAAGTAAATGACTTCTCAATGCAGACAAAAACATCGGTTTTTCTGTTCATTGAGAGATATCACTGATTTCACCAGTGCAGAATCTCCTGTAGTTATATTCTTAGAAAATTAAATTGGACCCCATCATTTCAACAAATTTAGCCAATTTAGAATTGTTCAATCCAAATAGGATAGAAAAAGACTATTTTTTCATAGTACCTTGTCGCGCTTTAACTACTTTTTTGTAATTTTTTTGCTTCAGTTTGAATTTTATTATAGCACCTTCAGGCTATTTGCTACCTTAGCCAGTCTGTGTCTAGGCAAGATCAAATTTAAGTTTACCCTAATAATAAACGTCTCTCAAAAAATATTTGAAGTCCTTTTTATCATTGATATTGAAATGTATATAATTATAATTTGTTTACAATCACACACAAAATAATCGTTTTTACAAGGTAAATATTTATTTTCTTGGAAAAATCGTTTGATTGCCTTTTAGTAAGATCAATAAAAAAAATAATTATAATAACTGACCCATAAACAAACATTTTACAGAAATAATGCTTAAGCGGCGCCCTTGACAAAGAATTCGATGATATTTTTTATTCTTATAGAAATTACATCTTAAACACCTGGTATTGAAAGTTGATAGACATTGGTATAATGAAGTTCTAAGTACTCCTGAATTCGTTGCCAATTTATTCTTTAAAAAAGAGCTAATCGTTTTTTTTCTCTGCTCTCTCGTTTGTTACAATAGTTTATGTTAAAGCGACATTTTTCAATTATCCAACAAAAAAACATCACAAAATAGAACTATAAACATATATTTTGCATAAGTGGGACACACAGTATATAGTAAAAAAACCTGATGCTGCTTTTAAATGGAAAGGCATATGGCACTAAGGCAACTGAATATACAGACCCTGCCTATGTTCATAACACAGGTTCAGTGTGTAGGTTCCATATTCAATCTGCGCATGTGCGAACCGCGCTTTCAGCCGATAGAGTTTTCACTTTAGCTGTGCACTTTTGCAGAGGTATTTTTCAAAATTCGGCCAGATTGAATTTAGTTTTACCTCAAAAAACGAACAAAATATATGGAGACAGCTGTTAAAAAAATGTTGTAAAGTACAAGTGGTGTAAAAATCTCATAGCCGCATAATGTGTGACAGTGTTACAATATTCTATATATCTATTTAATATATCTACCACCTACTGGTAAAAATCATAAATGCATTTACCAATCCACTCACCTCTCTCATGGTGGTGATAATTTGCCTGCAGTCCTCATCTTCCCACTGATTTTTAGGACGAATTTCGACCCGCCAGAGGGCGAGCTGTTGGGCCGTAGCTTTAAAGAGGGGATGCTTCGGATACATAATCTTTAAATGTTCCATAACCTCCAGAGAGATTTGATCCAACCTTCCAGATATTTCTTCTGGTTGAATTTCTATGTTCGGCTGGCACCACTGGGCTACAAAGGCAGCGCCTACTTCTAAAATTTGCCTCTGAGGGGACTGAGATATGTAATTCTTCCACACTTTCGCGAGATGGATTTGACGGATGTAGCGCAACACTTTGCCTGCATAGTATCGGAGAGTCAAATTGCCTAGGGTACTAGAAAAAAAAATTGGTGAAATCTCAACAAACAATGAGGTTTTACGAAAATACGAGGTGTTATTTAATAATTGTCCGATATTTCACTGGGTGAAAATGTTTCGTTTTTTCTGCATAACTTAAATAAGGCAGATTTCTAATTGTAAATTGGTACCTGTGGGTTTCTTGAGAAGAGAAATTTGAATATGTTTTTAATTTACCTAATTTTAAACAAATTTGCTATATTTTTTTTTTAAATACATACAGTGATGGTCAATGAAATAGAACCATTTCAATATATAATATACATAATATATTTTGTGGCGAATAAACTTTAAGTATCGGCTTTAAATTATAAAACCAATTTTATTACAAACATCTAAATAAACTTTTAGTATCGGCTCGAAGTTATAAAACCAATTTTATTACAAATATCTAATTAACAACGGAAAAAGTTTATAACAAATCTAACCTAAAATTTGTATTATTAAAATATTTCACAAATAAATAATTAAAAACTATAAAAAAATGTCTGGCCACAAAAATAGAGCGTTGCAAGGAAGAAACACAATACAACATCAAAAAATAATTATAAACTGATTAAATTACACACAAAGATATTTAAACATCTAACACTTAGTTTTATGACCTTTGTGTTCAAAAACTTCATTGCATCTTCTAAGCATAGAGGTTATTTATAAGCTAATTGTTGGCTGTTGGCTTCTTCAGAGCTCAACTGAAAATTTGTTCTGTACCTATTTATATACTATTAGAAGGGGTCGAAGCTAAACGGCGGCATGAACATCATCTCGGATGACTGGTTCCCATATATGTGAACAAAAAATATGTTCCACACAAGCATTTTCCAATAAACAACTCTTTGCCTGAAACATATTTTTTTTGTAATGTTCAAATTTATGAACAAATGTCAAGAACAACTATGGGTTCTCCATTATCACCAGTCTATGGGAATAGCCCTCGAGACCTTTCATCTAAAACCAATATTATAGAAACGCTACGTTGATGATACTTTTGTTATTTGGCCCCATGGCCAAGAATCACTCCAACAGGTTCTTAGCCATTTAAACTCTATACACCATCGCATACGTTTTACGATTGAATGAAAAACTAATAATAATCTCCCATTCTTAGGCGTTCTTGTTAATAGAAAAACAGACCGAATATTGGGTCATTCTGTTTACAGAAAACCTACACACGTTGACTGATGTCTTAATGTATCACATCACCATAACAAAAAATCAATGGTTATCAACTCTCTTACAGAGTCATTAAACTATCTCACTGAACCCAGAATCTGAATGAACATCTTATATCTGCTTTTCTCTAAAAAAATTTCCACATTAAAGATATTAAGTGTTCCTTCCAAAGACAATGAGTCTGAAAGCAACCCCATACGTGCCACTTGTTCTTACTGACATTCAAAACATCACTGACCACATAACAAAATTTCTTAAGAAATATAACCATATAAACCAGATTTACAGTTTTTCCAAATATCTCTCAACATCTTTGATCTGTCAATAACAAAACTCCGTTTGAGGAGTTTACAGCATTCTAAATTTAGCACTTGTCCAAAAACCTCTTAACATCTTCGATCCGTCGTTTGAGATATCAGGATTTTACAGCATTGCATTCTGGGTAGAAGATTAAATAAGATTTTCAACTTTGTCATGAATCATATTTGAAAGGGTATCGAACTCGGATGAGGACAAAATGGAAGCAATTTCGAGATATAGTTAGTTACAGCTCCTCGAAGTGCTGCCCCATGGCACAACTTCTAATGTGAATATGAAAATAGTATTTTCTCCGAAATTATTACAAAATTACAGAAAGAAACCATTGAAATTTTTGCTGAAGATATTATTTCTCCGATTGCCCCCAAACCCGTCCGGTTATATTCCGGAAATGTTCGAAGTGACTCATATCTGTTGGAAACGAAACTGAAGTGGTAAAGTGGCGCTTCCCGCATGTTAGATCGGTATGTAATTAGGGTTTTTACAGACGGGAGTAGAAAAAAATACAAACAATACAGTTTTGAAGTATAGATGTACTCAAAATCAGTGAAATTATGTTTGTAACCTTGAAAACAAGAACAAAAAGAAAAAATTTGACACTCTGATGAATATTTTAAACCACATATCTATAGTAACTTAAAAGTACTTGGGAATAACTTGTGAAATATCGGACAATTACGAAATAACACACTCAAGGTAGCCTCTCTATTGAATGAGGAAGTATTACAAGTTGAAATAGGTGATTGTTCTGAAAATTTGGACACTTCTATATATCTGTAGAATACTTTTCTATGTTTTCTCTAACTAGTTTCAATTAAATGTTAATCACTAACATGTTAGGATTACCTACAATATAGATATACCATAAAAAAATATATTATCGGTTCAAGGGAAGAGAAATCAATAAAATCATTTCTAGTCCCTTCCTTTGATTTATATATCCTTGTTGGACCTTTGCCCTATACACGGATAACAATTATCATTATCTGTATATACCTAAATACTTAAAATTTTTCATATTTTTCAAAATAAAGGTGAATTTCTGTAAATATTGCATAATTTTGACAAACTTGCTTAAGGTAGACAAGAAATTTGCAAACACTTCAGAGAAATATCCTCAAATTCCTATAAAGAACACATTTTTTGACTCATATACTTTTTAAAAAGTTCAAGGTACACTTCGTTGCTTAGTTAACAGGTAGTTTATTTAACCAAGTGCCCCCAGATTTAAAAGTGAACATTTTGATAGGTAAAGCTGACTAGGTTTTAGGGAAACCAATTCACATTCAGAAAATATCTTTCATATTTCTTTTTCGTGAGGGATTTAATTTGTAAGCCTTATACCTATAAACTTTTACAGCTAAGCTGTATAATTGATAAAAAAATAAATTTTAATCAGTTTCTCAGTTATGATCTTTGAGTCCTGCATTCTAATGTCTTAATAAATAAGTTGTTTTTTGGAATATCTAATTTAAGGGATACATCTCTCTGAAGATGCTTCACAGGACATATGTTTGTAGGAGCGTCAATTCACTATGTGCTTCTGGTGAGATATTGGAATCAATTCTAATAGCAAAGTACTGTGACATCCAACTCTGAGTTCTTTGCAGCTATTTCTGCTCATTTTATAACCTGTCTCAGAAATTGCCTAAGATTTAGCTCATCTTAACATGCTGTTAGGGCCATAAATAAATAAAATAATAATTAAAAACACATACTTCAGTGGGACAACTTCGATACTGTGAATAGGTTCCTCAGTATTGACAATCTCCATCAAGTCCAACACCAAATAATTATAAACTTCTTCTCTCTCGCCCAAGACAATATTCCATTCGTGCAAATCTGATTCTGATATTTCATATTTTTTATAAAACCTTGGTGGCATCTTCTCCAGCATAGTCCTGGTTCGCTTTTTTAATTCGTAAATATAACGCACTTCATGTTGATATATTAGCTGCCGATTGTCTAACACTTTCTCCAATTCTGGCCACCTAAAATAATAAAATTAATATGAATCTGTTTATGCATTTTCCTTACTTCTGAAACAATTTCTTTTTCCATATTCTGTTATTGTTGGTTATAGTCCTATGCAACTGCTGGCATGTCATGGAGACGTTTACCAGATCTTCAACGGAGAGTTTCGGATATATTAAGATATTTTCTATCAATTCGACTGGTAAACTTTCCATTGCTTTTAAAAAATTCTCTTTCCGAGGAAAATACAATCTCCTATCAATTTGCTACATATTATGCACAGATGCAGCAGAATAAAAACTGAATTTCTTCTCCTTTTTAACGTCCATGTCGAACAATTAATCCAAGGCATTCGCCCATTACGGCGATAAGACTAAAGTTATTTTATGAAATACTAAATTAATTTTAAAGCCCGGTTGACACAATGCAATGAAAAAATACATCCATTTTTTCATGTAAACATTGCAAAGTGTTTACTACCAAATTACAAGAAATTTGGCAGATAACATAACCAGCCAATTTTTGCCGAATTTGTGCGTGTAAACTTATAGGTTTAACCTCTATGAAAAATTTAAATAAATTAGAAATCACGAAAGGTTGCCCTTAAAAGTGTAAATTATAAATAATTATTTATGAAATATGGCAAAGGAAAAATCTAGGTCGGAAAAATGTTTAAAAAGCAGTTGTAGAACCTCCTATAGACAGAACAATAGCGCTCTGTTAATAGGAGGTTCTACAATTGCTTCTTGGACATTTCTTCCACCTAGATTTCACTGTCGCCTGCTTCGCTTGATACAACAAACATATGACAGATCGTCGTTTTAAATTCGCCCGCCGCGAGCATGACGTGTGCTAAAAATTTGAATTTGACGCGGAGAACTCATGGGATATGATACTTGTTTACAGTTGTTATAGTTTAATTATAATTGTTTGCAAGTTGATCTTATATTTCTAGAAAACCAATATGCAGAAACATATCAAAAAACATGTACGTTTTGTTTTATCAAAACGTATTATAAGATTTATAAGTTAATTTAGCAATAGGCGTGATTTTGTTTAATGGCATTTGCACTTATCAAATTACGATTCTTGGAGTAGGTATTTAAAATGAATTGTTGATATTATAATAATGTATTAGGAATCATTTTATTAAGGATCAATAAAAAATATAGGTGTTTTTAAGATTAACTGTGAATGTTAAGAAAATTTGTTTTTTAAAATAATTTTAGTATAAATCGCTGTATTTCTCTGTAATATTCTTAAGATTAATTATAAATGTACAGTTTGAAAAGGAAATAAAATGGGAATAATGAATAAGAATCTTAAAAGGAAAATACTTTTTTTTGCTATAATAGTTTATGTGATAACATAAATCTTGTTAGTTATTGCAAAGAAGAAATATACATACAAAGAGCAATATCTTGGTTATGACTGGGGCAGAAATCAAAAGACTTTCATGGCATTTGGATTAACGATAATATATTTCTCACATTCAATGTCTAAACCTCGTTAAAGAAGGATCAGTAAACTCATAACAAAACAATTTTCTCAAAAATTGTTTCTCTAAAATTTAAAAATGGAGGTGTTAAGTAATCCTGAAAATCAATTACTTTTATTTAAACCAAAAAAAAAAAAGAAATCTAACTTAAAGTGTGGAAACTACTTATTCCAGTAAATTACTAAAGTTATAAAACAAATTTTCAATGTCATGAATACTGTACTCTCATAGAGTAAAGCTTTGGCATAGTTTACAAATTTAATACATCGGTGGTGGAAAGGCAGGACTCGAAACTGACGCAGACCTAATTTTTCAGGAGACCAAAAAAACTAGCTCATTATTTTAGAATCGCCAGTTTGCAAGCTATCACCCAACTCTTTTGAATGTTTTCCTCATTAGGGAACCGCAACAGCATCAAATCCTCGGAAAATGTTTTAATTCCGTTATCTGTATTGTAACCTGCAACAGAACACAGCATTTTGATAAAAAGTAATGAATCCAAAAAACAAAAAAGAACTGTCTATGTCTATATGCGCAATCTTTGTTGTATCATACCAAAATACCATCAAATCTAATGAAAAATTCTGAGAACGCCACAAACGAATTTCCATATTCGGCGAGTCTTGATTCGGTCTCTCAAATAGAAAAAGGAGAAACATAATATAGATATATTGTTTAAAATAAGTGACTGCCTCATGTTTATATCGGAACGGCGTGATAACTATAAGCCAAGCCAAATATGACTTAGTAAAATGATGCTTGTTTAAAAGACACAGAACGTATACCGGGAGTAGATGGATAAAAGGACATCCAGCCGAACCTAACCTCACTTTTTGGCTTGGACAGTTTGGTTGGCACCACGGACCACGGTTTGGTTAGGTTGGCACCGCGGACACCGGTTTGGTTGGCACCACTGACAACGGTTTGGTTGGCACCACGGACGACGGTTTGGTTAGGTTAGGGCGAGTGGCCAATGGCCGGGCGGCCAATGAGCGAACGGCCCATAGGCGGACGGCCAGGATGCATAAAAGAAGAAGACCCCCGGGGCGTGTGGCCGTGGGCGGGGGGCCCGTGGCCGGGAAACCAAAAAGTGAGGTTAGGTTCGGCTGGATGTCCCTTTATCCATCTACTACCGGGTGATTCATCGGCACACATTGACACATGCATGTGCATTTTCTAATTACCTTCCCTAGTTTCACAAAAAAGTTATAGGTACCATTAGGTTAATTTTATTGAAGGGTACTACCTGCATTAAAAAAATATTAACACGTTTGTTATTACTGATAACTTTTTCAATATTTTGTCTTTATTATTGCTCCTTAGATACTAGTCACCAGTTAAGCAAATTGATCTAGATTTCATGAACAACTGTTCGAGCGTAAAACAAAGTTACATGTGGCACTATTGATGAAAAGATCCGTGTATGGACACGCAGCGGAGCAGATCGGGTAGGGACACGTGTTACGCAGTACACCGCAAGAAGAAGCAATTCAGACATCTGTTTATAAGGACGCATGTTTCCTGAAATATCACGCTGCCGCCAGGCACATTATAACAATTTGTTTTTATTAGTAAAATTTAAGTGTTTGGCAATTCCACGACTTTTCATTCACGACCGAGTCCACTGCTTCCCTGAGCAAAAACAGCGTGGTCCTTCGACGCTCTTACCTAAGAAGTGTTGGTCCTTCGAGCCAGATTGGATTGGCAAAGTCAGAAACACGAACAAGAATCAACGAGTCACGTGAATCCTTTCCATTTATCAAAATCCCAAATCAAGTAACCATCTCGCATTTTCAATTTATCGAATTTATTTCTGAGGATTTGTTTGTGCTATATTTTCAACTGAACAAGCTCAGTTTCTGAAAAAATAGTAACGTTTGAAAAACAATAAAATTTGTTGGTCTCGTGCACGAAAGCAAATGACCAAAGGTTACAGCTTAATCATACTCGAGAAGTGATTATTGAGCGGCTTCAACGTTTTCAGAGTATTTTGAATACAGAACAAAATCATACAAATGCAATTCAAGTTCAATTTTATTGAGTTTGATAAAGTTCAAACAGATTTAGAATTTTTGGACAGTAACGAAAAAAGCAAGCCTTTAATTATTGAAAATAATCTTTATGACGTGATCGGTTTCGCGAAATCATGTCTGGAAACAGCAAAGCATACAAACGGCGCCAAAGCGGCATTCACAGCTTGCGCAGTTGCCAAACTTCCAACCATAGGTATGCCCGAACAGTTAAGAAAGCAAAACACCAGGATAGACAAAAAAGTCTTCTAAAAGTTGGAAAAGTTGGTTACATGCTACCCAAGTTAGGTCCGGAGAAATGTAAAATTCAGTATATGGACACGGACAGACAGAAAAATGTAGTTTTTGAAAAGGCTCGTTGCAACAGGAGAAGGCAGCAGCCCGGGGAACCAGTGGAATCTTTCATTAGAGATTTGCATGTTTTATCGGAACACTGTGAATTTGTTGGTACTTGTGGCTCTACGACCATGAAAAACGATTTTATAAGAGATCGAATTGTTGACGGTATTCTAGATCAGAATCTCAGCGACAGATTGCAGCTAAAATCAGATTTAAAATTAGAAGACGCAATTTTGGAGGCCAAGCAGGCGGAAATGCTTTCACGACAAAGTAACATTCTAATGGCGAAGGCATGGGGAAAGAGGTCCGTGCCTTGGACAAGAGAAAATATCGAAGCAGCAAAGGCAGCAGCGGAAAGACAGCCGGACGGGCACAAAACAAAGAAGTGACAGGATGTTATTTCTGTGGCCAGGAATCACACTCACGGGAAAAATGTCCAGCTCGGAAGGCAACTTGTTCACATTGTAAGAAGATTGGACATTGGGCAAAGGTTTGCAAAAACAAAAGCGTCAGGGCAGTGGAGAAAGAATCTGAGGAATCAAATTCCGAAGAAGAAAACAACAACAAAGATGGATTTATAGGATTAATGGTAGGATCTAATCAAAATTCAGACTCAATGTCACAATGGTTTTGTATGCTAGAAATTGAAGGGTTTTCAAATAACATTAAGTTTTTGGTAGACTCGGAAGCCGATGTGACTTGCATGCCAGAAAATCTTTTAAAAAAATTAAAAGCTCCGGAGGATGTCATATCGGGTCCAGATGGTCGACCTTTACATGTAATCGGTACCTTAAAGTTGGAAATCACATATCGAGACAAAAAATCTCAACTTCAAGTATATGTTTTAAAAAATTTACAAACTCCTATTTTAGGCAGATCAGGAATAGTCGATCTAGAGATCTTAAAATTCACAGGGCAAGTGAGTCTTCAAGAGATATTACCAGATGAGAAAACAAAAGTAGATGTAATCTCTGAATTTCCTAACTTGTTTAATGGTCTGGGGGAATTCAAGGGAGAAATTGAAATTCAAATTAAGGAGGGAGCAAAACCGTTTGTTCAGGCAGCTTCTAGGGTAGTACCTTTACCACTTTTACCTAAATTAGAATCCGAACTTAAACGATTTCAGTCTTTGGGCATAATTGTACCAGTTGACGAACCAACTGCATGGGTTTCGCCCATTGTTGTAGTTCCCAAAGGGAAGGGGGTTCGCTTGTGTTGCGATTATAAAAGACTAAATGAGAGCGTTTTGAGATCGCATTTTCAAATCGATAGAGTCGAGACTACTTTAGCTAAATTGGCGGGATCATGCTATTTTTCTAAATTAGATGCAAATAATGGGTTTTATCAAATCAAAATTAAAAGAGAGTGCCAAGTTTTAACAACTTTTATTACACCTTTTGGGAAATTCAAA